GTCTGAATGTTGGGAACTAGTACTGAGTGCTGCTGAACTCAACAAAATGCTGTTTTTAGACAAAAAGCCCTTGTATCATGGATGATTTTGTAGTTAAGACACATGAAAAAAACACTCCTGTTTTTTTAGCTATTGGTGATGAACACATATACATTGCTTTTTTATGTTACTGACATGAACCATATGTTTGTGAATTCTAGCTGTTCACAGTACATAGAATAACTTATATGTTGTGTTATCATTTCTGAGCGCTGCTATAGGACCGTGAAGACAGCCACTTAAATCCAAGAAAAATATCTATTTATTGCATGTCATGAGTTTTGCTGAATGTGTCTATACTCATCTCAGCTAAGGATGTTTCAACCTCAAGCTATGCAGAGTTGACATTTGTTTTCTTAGGTGGCAGCACTGCACTTATATGCATTTTTTTGCCCAATTTAAGGTATGTTCGTACTGATTGTGGCATTCAAGGACATTCAAGTTACTCTGCTTGGCAACACAGGTACAAAGTACGTTTGTATATCCTTATGGGTGTATACTGCATTTATCCCACCTCTGATACTGCAGTGTGGGCATACAGTGTGAACCTGAACAAGTGACCTGCCTTCCCTATGTCTCAGCTCCCTCCTCTGGAAAGCAGTGATAATGCTTACTGGCTTAAGATGTTGCAATAATTACATATCTAAATGTTTAGACATGTCTAAAGGGAAAACGGGTTTTTTTTCCACTTCTCCATTTAGCTAGTTGCAATATATCACTATAACACTATATCAGTAAAATGTTAACTAGTCACACCAGAATCCAAAAGAACATGCCCCCAGCACTACTGGGAAAAGGAATCACAATTTAAAATAGAAGTATTCATTTTTGACAGAAAGCTGTTCTCTCAGTCAGTTCCCCAGGGCAGATGATCTTGAATGAAATCTCCCTAAACCTTAATCTAAAGCTGTCCCTATTCTTACATACATTTAATACGTGTCTCCTTTTAGTGTCAAGGTCCAAAACATATCTAAAATATATCCAAGTTGTCCATGCTGAGTTATCCACCTCTAGGACCTCTTCTAACAGAATGAATCTGGGCCAGCACTGCATGAGTTTAGTCACAAACGTACAGCACTGTACTTCAAAAACTCATCTCACGCATCTAAGAGATGATGCATCTACTGCAGGCTCCACACATACATCAAGTAACACAGATAGCAAAAATCCTATCAAAATAAATCTCTAAAAAATTTGAGATTGCAATAGTGTATTCTTTTTGATCAACTGGATCACTTCTTTGGATAGTCTTTGTACTGGAATAGCAAGAGACTATCCTAACCAAAGCTTTGGGATGTCATTTTGGATGGTGATACTGTCCAGATCAAGACTACACAAGGATTGCCAAAAGCGTTGTGATTCAATTTCCAGGTTCAGATATATATTATCATTAATTACAAGCCAACTCTTCTATAATCTTTGACCAAGTACATTTTTACACACTCAACAGGTTTGGGTATGTCCTTGGACCTTTGAAAACAATCACATTCTGAATACAATCTTTACATAGCATAAAACACTATGAGTAACAGTCTATAAGAAGAGAACATTAAGTGGGATGAATACAGAAATAAATGGTTTTACTGATAATAATGTATAAAAGAAAAAAGATTTCATTGTGGCGATTTCAGGTGCCTTAAGAGCATGAAGCTTTACCATCTACTGAAATATCTCTACATGATGCACATTTTAATTATTTTTATGTAAGCATTGTTCTCTATCTAAAAGAGACGTAACAGCAAACAATGCCCACTGAAAAACAACAGCCCAAGTATATCAGAATGTAATAAGTGTTTTTTCCTACTTAATTTCTACCAGTAACACTTTGATGCAAAAAATGACACAAACATACAAATGTCTGCCTATTGCCAGGAAAATTTTAGAGCCAGATTTTAAAAATAAACTGTCTTTGAAATTCTTTTCAGGTATTTAACAATGAAGTAACTTTGTTTTCAGAAACAAACAACAGTGAAAAAGGTCAACAATTTTTGGATTTCAAGTAGCGTTCATAGCTTTAGAAAAATCCAGTATTTTGTTTAGATATTTTATTGTAGTCATTACAATTTGTTTCCAAATACTGTAGTCATATTTTGAGTTTAAAAATTCAATAAACGAAGAAAATTTCTGACTTGCCTAAATAAATGTAAACTTATGTAAACATAAACCATATTTCCAGAAACTATTTTTGCAGCCTCAAGACTCCAGTAGTTCACACTCTGCTGAGTATATCAACAATACAAAACAAATGCTGACTATTTTGAAGACTGCCACGACATTATCTCAAGGGAGCCTAATTATGGATTATAAGTGGAACAGCTGTTTGTATTCCTCTGTTTCATTGCTTGAGTACATACAGTCTGTTTCTGAGATCTACAGTTTCTATGAAAGCCAAAATGTAGCCCCAGAAGACAGGAGCAATAGTTGCAACTGAAGCCTGGTTGAAGAGTTGTTTCCAGTTCTCTGAACCTGTATTTGAAAGCTCTCTTAATTCCTTTTTCTCTTAAAGGTCTGGAAACTTCAGACAGATTCTGTGTGTTTTTGCAGAACAGTTGTTCCCAACCACCTAGACAGGTCTTGTGTTGATCTAAAAACATCACCATGAAGGGCTAATAAGCTTTGCTGAGTCTGTAGTAGCTTCATGGGGTGCATCAACAACAGCTTTTAGGGAAAAGTAAATTGGGGGTGGGTGAGGAGTGAATTCTAGTGATATGTGGAACACTGACAATTTTCTTCTGCTACAAGATGATTGGGAATGATGGGTTTAGTTAAGGAATTAGAGATGCCTCATTAGACTCCAAGATACTTAGCATGAGCATTAAACATTGTACAAAAGAAGGTGATTTTCATACACTTGAATGTTGCATGGTTGTAAAATATCTCCAATTCTGTAAAACCAGATGTGAGGAAATATTTGGCTGCAGCTTTCTTAGCAAAGTAATGGTCTCTAGAATAGGAAGCATTGGAGTTCTTGCTTACCATACACAAGGAATCTACATAAATATGTTTTCAACCGAATAGGATCCTTCCATTTTGAGAAATGAATGCCTTAATAAAGTACTGCTATTATATCTAGGTCCATTGCAAAACTGAGTTAAATAGGGAAGGTTAAGGCCCTTATCTCCAAATAGTATAGAGTTTACACAGCAACTACATATCTTATTATCTTATTGGAGATATGTACATAAAATAAAATAATTAATTTACTGCTTACTGCACCATAATGCATTTCTTAGGTCTCATTATCTTTCCATTTAAAGCAAAGTGTGTAAAGCAGAGAAAGAGAAGTTAGCAATAATCATGCAAGTCTGAAGATCACATAGGAGGCTTTGTTTCAGCCCTTTAGCTCAAATCAAACAGTGCGCCATTTGGAGTTCTGACAAACCACTGACTCGAGCTATATATCCTGCATAGACAGATAGAAAGAAGAAAGATACTCTAAGAAGATTTTAGCCTGTAATGTGCCTACTAATTAGAGGCAGACTGTCAGGAGAGAGAAATTCCACAGCAGATCTTGAAAATTGCTTTGTGACTGTGGGAAAACCTCTTAGCCTAGTTAAATGACTCAAAATTTTCTGATGATGTGTACTTTCCAAGCCAGTATGCTCTAATATTTAGTTGACTAAGATTGACAGTATAGTAAGACTGTTAAATAAAATTACAAATAATAAAAAAATAAAAAAGAAGGAAAAAAACCTATTAAAACAAGTAAAACTCTAACTGTTCCTCTTGGCTCTTTTCATTTCTACTAGTCAACTTGACCAGCAGATGAAACTGGGCTGGTGTAAACCGAATATATCTGACCATAAGATGGTGCTAGTGCTACTGCATTGGTAATACAATTGGCACTGGTAAAGGAACAAGTAACCACACAAACGTGCTACTGGGTAAGAGTTTCCTTTTCTCACGACTTTTATGAAAGGCATTTACTGGGGTCCGGTAACAAGAACACGTCAGTCCTTGCACAAGTTTCTGTAACTGCAGAACATCTTGTAGAAAGGGAGCTCATAACAGGACAAGAAAGTGAAAAAAAGAGCTGTTTTCAGCTGAATAAATCTCATTTACACTTAAAATAACTGGACACCTTGTAACCAAAAATACAGAGACAGCTAATTTAGAAAAGACTCATCCTGTTTTCACATTCTAATGTACTGTGAAAGGAGGTACAGAAATTCATTAAACAAATAACTGCAATTGTAGATAGAGACAGACTCTTCCTAGCCAAAAGTAGAGTTCTCATCAAGTGCACTTGTTCTTTGAAGTGATACCTTCCCCAATCACTAACAGATATTAAAGACACAATTGAACAGTCCTGAATTTTCCCCTCTGTGTTGCAATGGTAATCATACATATTAGCCAGTACATCAACACTTGTGTATACATACAAACCTGCATGTATATAGAGCATACACGTGTATATTTATTTTCAACATCTACCTAAACACTCCACAGGAGAACATGGCTGTATGGAGACTCTTCTAACTCTGCTCAGCTGGGAGAATTTTCAAAATTAGTCAAAGGCATTACTGTGAACTCCAGGCATCTCCCACATAGGCTTCAAGTTCCTTTTCTAAAGTACAAACACAACAATTTTTTCCAAGTATTTGAACTTCGGAAAAGTATATGCTTTCCTTAAAAATTATTGTCAACGTTCTACATTCTGAAAGTTGCAGTCAAAAATCAGTAGGAGATAAAGAATTAATTTGCACTTAAATGTACTAGAATTTGGCAAAAAATACAAACACTGCAAGACAAAGAGACTGTCAGTAACCATAATTACAGGGGTTACAAATAAGCTTTCTAATTAAGTCACTGTGTCTTTTTTTTTCAGTGAAGACATCTATTCAATTGTTCTCGCAGGCATATTTCTACTTCACAGTGTTTTTTCAACACAGCTCTCTCTCTCTCTCGACCCCTCTCCCAGCTGAGAATTAATTTGCACCATCAGCTTTGGGAACTCCTACCTGCACAGGACGACCATCCTCTTGGCCAATCATGTTCTTCCAGTCCTGCAGTGACCGCTGGAGGCTGTCCAGCCCGGTCTCCCAAAGCCTCACACCGCCCCCCATGTCCACGCTAACCAAACCGACTTTGCCCAACGGTGCCAACAGGGCATCAGCGTCTGAGATCTTAGCGAGCCAAGATGTATAAGGGGAGAGAGACTGTGACCTGGAAAAGAAGAATCAATGTGATTTTTCTTGAAGTTGCAATTAAAAAGAGGATGAGTGTTTCTGTAGTTAAGGTGGCAATTAAATGAAATTACATCCTTATTCCATGAGAGACTATAACTAAGCTTTGCAGACACGCTATTTTATCTGAAACATTCCACCTACTGAAAGTGGATTTGACTGAAAGATATTTCCCAGTATAAAAAGCAGTACAAATGACTAGGTTGAAAGGGAATATGTTGCCTAGCCCACTGCTATATCTCATCTATCTGAAGAAAATCAGTCTTTACAAAAACTATAAAGAATATGATAAAATTAAACAGGTGTCATAGAAAAATACAAAACTACAGAAGAAATAGGAGAAAACACGACCAGGGTACTGAGGAAAATACCTGTCTATCAACTTAAAGTAACACCTTTATCTAGTGCTTTAATAAAAAGCTGAAAATTTAAAGATGGCACAGCTTTATGCACAGAGAGTCTCAGCAATGTTTTAAACAAATTGCAGACAAAAATTGACTACTGAAAGAGAGGGCCTAATAGCCTCATAATATGAAGGGAAATTTAGATAAATTAGGGAAGATTCGTTGCAATTTTTTCAGTACTGTCAATCACATGCATAATGACTTGGCAACTTGCACTAATACGACAATTAGTAATCTTCAAAGATAAAAGAAAAAGTAACACATATGCTTCTACCCAAGCCTGAAATCGTCGTGAGCTAATTCAACTGCAGAAGAGTTATCTTAGCATTTGATCAGGTTAACTACAACAGAAGCATGAAAGGTTGTTAGATTTTAGCACAGAACTATCCATATAGACAAAAAGTCACTTTATTTATCAGTTCTTAATGAAGTACAGTTTTAAATCTGGACTTCTACTCTTCTGTGTTAATGCCTCACATTTTTGACTATGTAAGATGTAGGCCAATGGATCAATTATGAAATGGCGAACAGTCCAAAATTAATTATTAATTAAAAAATTCCACAGATTATTAATGAAGCAGAATTCCTTTAAATGAGAATCAATTAATATTGTCAAAACCAACATCAAATGGATAGAATTAAAAAAAACACATTTCTGATGAGTGAGTTTCATACATGTGCTATTTAAACATGCAAAGTTGAGAGACTGCTATTCAAAACAAAGAACTTTATTTTTATTATTATTGCAGTAGAAAATGACAATTAGTAACCAAAATGTATGTTTATATCATAAAATATTTGCCAGTACATTCTACGATGGTGAAAGACAGATGTTAAAACCATACAGAAGCCACATACACTGGCTGTTCAACTGTATCATACAAGATCCTTGTGTATCATGAAAGATACTTGTGAGGGAATGTATATTTTTTCATAGGGAGAATGAAAACAAGCTCAAGTTATTTTCAAGGTGAACTTTATATTGAACCAGAACTTGATTCCTGGTTTCCCAACACCTTGAACAACTTGCTTATTCTGCCTGCCTTTGTTAGACCCTAAAGACAGAGAGAAAGGAAAAGAAAATAAGGATAGCAAAACAAAATGGAGGAGGGTAGATGATAAAGTGGGTGCAGAAGAGGAAAAAGCAGAGGGAAAGAAAATCAGAAGATAAAGCTACCTTTCATATTTTTCATATTTACATTTTCATTGGTACCACCTAGTAAAAAGCTAAAAAGTGCTGACAAAAATATGCTACAACAGTTGCAGAATTTCACATTCTAAGTAGGAATTAATCTTACTTTCCACATCAGAAGAAATATTTGCTTATCCTGAAGTAATAATACACACTAAATTCTCTCTGCTCTTCCTGTAAGACAGAGGCTGCTTTAATCAATAAAATCAGTTACCTAGGAATAGCAATGTATTTGATTTTCTTCGAGTTAAGATCTGTTACTTCCAAGTATCCAGCTGCTGGTGGAGGAGTGACATCTGAAAATAAACAAATGTGTTATTTTCCTGCTGCATGATTAACTGGTTATTGTGTTTGCATTTAGTAGATTAAATTTAAACATTTCATTATACAGTACCTGTCAGGAAATGATAAGCTTTCACATTCAGCACAGGAGTATAACTTGCAAATACAATATTGTTTTACTATTATGATAGTGAGGAATCAGACAGGCACAATTATGAAAGAACAAAGCATTTGTATAGCAAATGTCAAAATTACACACAAATATAGCCCTACTGGCAATAGCACTAATCAGGCATTAATGCAATCCCTAACTCACTGCTCTTCTCTGCCAGTGAAGATAATGTCAGCTGTATATCTGACTTTAAAACCATATTGAGGAACATCTCAAAACATTGTGCTGATGATTCCCACTTGAAAATTTCTCAATAATATTAACCTAAATGTTGCTGCCTTAAATTGAACCAATGTTTTTGCAGGTAGAGTCTCATCAGTACACAAGGATTTTATAATAGCCCTAGACTATCAGACATATAATATTCTGTTTATAGATAACTTAATGAAGATAGCAAATAATATGGTGCTTCTCTCAGGAATACACTGGGAGATGTATGTGTCTGTCTGCCTACGCTGGCTTTTGTCAACATATGAGTACACAGCCCAGGCTCAGAAGTGGCTTCCAGTTAGGAGCTGGCTTTCATCTGCCTGGGGTAAATTGAGGAATTTAAGTTTTTCAGAAAAGAAACCAGAAGACTGAATTACACTGCATAGTATGGCTATAAAATGCCATTGTCACAAGATGAAAGCAAGTCTAGATTTCCTTCTGAAACAACACCTCCTTGAAATGAAGGAAAGCCTGATGTTACCTGCAGAAGTGTTGACACTTGCATACAGCACACATAGAAAAGACCATTATGATCAGTGGTACAAGGGGATTTAACATTCAAATGAGTATAAAGAATAACCCACAGCAGCACTTTATGCATATCTACTGCATGAGCATCTCTATAGTACATACATCTACAGTAGCACATCTATTGACTTTACTCATCTTCATAAAAATGGAAATACCAAACACATTTGGAATAGGAAAAAAAAGTCTGGAAAACGCAGGTTTGTGGACCTCAGAACACTTTTTGTTTTGCCTACATTTTGTTACTGTTTAAAAATGTGTTTTCTCTTTAGGCAGTAATGACGAATAAGATACACATTAAAAATTCTGATGAAGTTGTACAACATGTAACTGATACTGAACTGGAAGGGGTAGAACTGTGGGATAAGAATTAAAAATTAAGTTAATAAATTAGTCCTGGCTATAAGGACAAATGTAAGGAATTAACTTTTTTTTTCCCCTAAAAAGAGACTTTCCTTTTAAAAACACATGCTCCATAATATCGAAAAGATTTTAATAAAGGGAGCAATATTATCCTGACTGAGTGGAGGTGACATGAAGTATTCAGTTTTGTTTACAGCAACAAAAGCTTTTCTTATACAAGGAGAGTGAAGCATTGCAATAGGCCAATTGTTTGACAAACACCAGTTAAAAAGAGTCTAAATGTGTCATCCTGTCCTTGTGTAAATAGGTGGACCAGATGATGGTTATTCCTGTGAGTGTTACACCACACGTTCTTCCAGTTACAGTCACACTAATGGAGATACACACACAGTAATAGACTGTTATTTTATATTCATATATGGAAAGTACTGAGAATCCACGTAAATATTTGCTCTTAAGTAGCCTTCATTTCTATAGTCTTCTTTTTAGAATAAACATTGATACTTATTTACAGGATTCTGTCATGCTCTCTTGTCTGAGTTTATATTTTGTGGACATACATCTATTTGGCAGTCTTTGGGGAAATTATTACTATGTTTCTTTTCAAACATAACTATTATCCTGCTTTACGGCTCCAATAAAACATAAAGGAAATTATTTCTTTGTTGTTCCTGGAACAGTTTCGGTAATAAAGATTGGAATATGCTAGAGTTTGGCTGAGTACTTTGACTTATTAATAGACATGGAAGACTGTGTGCCAGAACTGACCAGTTGTCCAAAAAGATGAGAAAGAAAGCCTGATGCACAACTGAAGCAAGAATACAAAACAGCTTATCAAAGACATCATAAGAGTTAGTGCAAAAACTTCAAGGGACAGCCACATACTCCATTTTGTGAAATAGGATGCTTTTGCTTCACTATACATCCACTATCCAGGAAAGGATACAAAGACTTATGAATGAAGCCTTATACAACTTCCATGGGTAACTACAGGATTCCAATGTAGAAACAACAGTGCAGACAAATCACCAAATGTCCAAAGGCCCCCAAGAATTATGCAGCACAATCAGGAACAGGCAATGCTGAATCTCCAAGGGACCACTAGAAAAACTGACCATTAACTGATAAATAGAAATGTCTGAAGTCCTGAAAAAAGGCTACAAAATAAAAAAACTAGAGAGGTTTTTCTATAGAAAACAGAGAACCTAACAGAGAACCTAGAAAACCTACAATTTAAGTGTACCACTAAGATCATATAAAACATGATTCAGTTAAGATCAATTTTGGTAATGCATAAATTAAAGCATCATTTAAAAAAGAAAAATCAATAATAATGGCCTTAAATCTTTCAACTTAAATGGCCACAAAGCACTGTACAAACTATACCTCATAAAATTTTCTATAAATGCAAAGCTATCAATCATAATTTATTAATATATTTCACCGTAGCTGAGGAAAAAAAAAAGTTAGTATCTTGTTCAGCTATATCAAAAGATACAAATTAAATGGCTCAGTCAGACAGATGCCAATTCTCAGAAAGATAATTTGCTCAGGTCACTGGTATTCAGGATTCATGAAGAATGTCCCCTTGTTTTTAATTATATTAATCTAGCATTTTCAGGTGTTATATAACACAGCAACTTAAAAGACTTTTAGAAATAGCTGTCAAGATCTCAATTTTAGATATAATTTGGAAGCAGCATATTCCTCCCTCACTCTCAAATGAATGAAATAATTTAAACAAAAGCTCAGATTTACCTGAATTTTTATACCACTCACTTCAGAGTCTGATTTTTTTTTTTTTTACCATAAAGGCCTAAAAGAAAATGACCCAGTCTCACCCTTCAGGAGTTTATAAAGTATGAGAAGATTACAGACTGAAGTGGTATAACTAGTTACAAGATCATCATGCTAACTATAACTATATTTTACTAAGTTTAATCTTTTTAAAAGCTAACCTTTTCTTTACAAATGTAGGTAAGTTTAGTTTCCTACTCTGCTTATATCCTTGACTTTGCTTCTTTAGTCAAGTAAATGTTTTATCCTTTTAGTAATAAATAAAAGGATTTCTCTACACAGAGAAGTTAATCTGTGTTAAATGAGGGCAGACATACCATATAATTTATTTTGTAAAAGGGAGTTAATTTGGAATAAAGCATTTATTCTGGAACAGAGAGTTCACATACAGAACAAATCAGGAATAGCTTCTTGTGGTGATGAATTAAAAAAACCTGCCATTCTACCCTACACAAATAGTTTGGGGTGTTTTCTCTTTTGATAGCCACCTCTCCTTGGATACTTCTAGAGGTAATTAAAGCAAAACTCACAAATCCTGTTATTTAGCACTAATTGGTATATTTTCAGTAATTGCCTGAGGAAGCTAAGGATACAATGATAACAGAAAGCTTGGCATGGCAGCAGAAAAAAGCCTGAAGGTCTGTAGTCTGTACCTGCTTTATTAGTGTACACGTGGAGAATGGTTTTGCTGTATGTGAATGTTGCATGAGCAACTCTTGGACAAGAAAAGAACTAAAAAGTCTGGGTCTCTTCAGCTGAGAGAGAAGGCAGATGTGACCGAAGTGTACAAGTCATGAAGGTGGTGATTAAGGTGAATGCAGAACTGTTATTCACCCAATCCTGCAATGCTAGAACAAGGGGCGCTTGATGAACATGGTAGGAGATCAGTTGATCACAGAGAGTAGTGAACCTGGGAGCTTGCTGTGAGGACACACCAATTCAAAGATGGACCAGACAAACTTCTGGACAACAAGTCCATAGAAGGAGATTTCAAGGCTGAGTTGGGGATGTCCCCTGCAACATCCGTAACAAAACAACTACAAATGTTGAGAAATTATGAAGGGAAAGACACACAAGTGGCCAGACTCACATGCATTTCCAAAACAACCTTTTTGTCCTGCTGCAGACAGAATACTGAGCTAGACAGACAACTGGTTTGTCTTATCACTGCATGTCTCTGTGGCACTGAACAGAGGTTGGAAATACTGGTGAAGGCCAATTGCTGAACTGGAAAGATCATAATCCTGTACCTGGTTCCCAGTGTGGACAGAGGGAGATCCCCTCTACTGGGATAGCCACAGTGTTAATTCCTCAGAAGTATAATTCAGCATGTAAATAAGATCTAAATTAATCTTTAAAATGAGTGCAAATACTCTATTCCTTCTCAAATGCCTGTTTTGTGATTATTGAAAGACATTTTGGAAAAATTCATGAGTGATTGCAGTTTACAAAACAAAAAAAAGCACGTACAGTTGTTGTAGCACAAGTATATGAACCTCTTACCTTTTGGGTAAATGTCTTTCAAAGGCACATCTCCAGGTGCTAAAATTCTGACAACTTGATTAGAAGCCAATAAAGTTACACAATTGGTTTGTTTTGCAGCTCCTGTTTTCCTCCGGGCTCCATAATAAAATGGATCAGAAGGAGAAGCACATTTGCCACTCAGAGAGGAGTTTCTTTTCCAGCTATACACTTCGCTAGGAGACTGCAAGAGAGAAGGAGTCTACTGAACAAAACGTCACTATTATTGAGCCTCAGAACAAATGTTTCTTGCAAAGTTCCACCTCTTACCTAATTTCAAATCAAATGTAGCTACTGTGGTTACCTCTCATATCACCACAGGACAAAGAAAAAGCCTGGATTATTTTGTCATTAAAAACTCCTATAGGAGTGAATAACAACAGACCACCTACACAAGTTTTAGCAATTAAGGCTCTTTGAAAACCTGAAGTTGAATCAACATTCTTTTCATGTTGAACCAGGAACACAAATCATTGAAATAACCCAATCTGGAATCAAACTGCATAGCAAACTGTTACCACAATCTAAGTTTCCACTACTATAGATAAAAAAACCCAGATATTTCAGTAATGAATTCAAAGCTAAGCATTAAGGCTGGGATTTGGCTCCAGGTTCAGAGTCTAAAGAATAAATTGTCTCATCTTGAAGACGACCTCTACATTTGGTCAGCTGAGCATTGCTACTACAAATAATAGCTTAGATACCCTGTTCATACTAAACACCTACACCATTAACACTAAACACTGAATCTGAAGCTTTGTCCCACCATCCTCATGTTCACCTTTAGCACTCCCTCTTTGACAGCCACATGGATATTTAAAACCATGTATAAAGAAAGACAAGGTCTCAGTCTAAATCAGGGAGAGCAAGATGCTTCAACATCAGTGTTGGTATTGTATTTAGTATTTAGCACTCCCTCCTCTAGACTACCTCCCTTTTCCAGCAATAAACTCAAGTATGTTATAAATAATAAGAAAAGCTAGTATAATCAATCTGTTAATATAAATGCAGATCAAGTAAAACTCAAAAGCTAATTGCAGAGACAAGGACTGCCTTATTGACAAAAACATGGCTTTTAGTAATTTTAGAATTCAGAGTATTTTCTTCCATCATTTGGCTTTCTCAAAACTCAGGTCTGTTAACAATTCAATTTTCTAATTTGACCCAATTTGTTAAGCAAACAGGACAATATAAATAAGTAAAGAGAAATAAATCCAAAGAATTAGACATATTGCTTTTATTTTCCCTGTGTTTACCTCCACTCCTTGCAACAGTCTCAGTCATTGCAATGCTAAGTTTCACTTTCCCTTCTGGTCCTTTTCTAATTGTGTCACTGGAGTGAGCACAATTACATGAAGTGTTTACACCTAACTACATTGTTAAATAGTGAAGGGGTTGTATACTTTTGTTACCATTTTCTGTATCTTTTTTCTTTCTCTTAAATCTAGAGTCTTGCTAGCTGCTGCACACTGAGCAAAAAGTTCACACTGAACAGACAAAAATGGTACTTCTATCTTTTTTCTCAGTGGTTATATTTAATCAAAATCTATAAAATCACATAATTTAGAAAGTATTCATCTTGCCAGCTCTATTCAGAACTTAACTACAGTGTATCTTTTCTGTGCTAGACATTATGTTGTCCAATTTCTTCTTATTTCAAACTCCACTGAAATCCCTCTAGATAAGACTACACTACCAAATGGTGTGTAGTACATGAATTTGTCGTTTACTGCCATTCCCTTCTTTTTCCATATCATTTGGTAAACAGGTACTTAACTGGTTACAGAATAAATGAGATCACATTACTTCATTGTATAATAATGTTGAGTATTTACCAAGAGGTCTGGGAAACCAATAACAATAGTAGCGTAATTATGTTCATCTGAGAAAATCCTGTTGGGGGAGCTGATCTTTTGTTCCACAGCTGCCCTGAGGTTTTCTGAAGATAGCTGGTCACTCGAAACTGCATGCGGCACACACAGTTCTGACGCTAAACGGGGAAATTAAACAAAATGAAAGTCATTCAATCCAGATGTGCAGTAGGAAACAATATTAACTGTAAGAGTGCTGAGCACTGATCATTGCTATTACTTTGAGCATAAAATTACTAAAAAGCAGAAGATTTGATTCTACTATACTGTAACGCAGAAAAGAAGTCAGGAAATAACGTTACTTTTGTAAAGTTAAGTACTTAAAATCAGGAAGTACTAGCTTTGTAGTTGCTGATACCACTTAATTTTGCCCTCTTCTGTGCAACTGAGGCAGGAAGCCTATGGAATAGAACTGCATGTGATCTCACTGAGGATTGTTATAATGCAAATGCACATAAAAGCAAAACATGGGTTTGCACAAGCAAGTGTCAACGTGACATTTCTTGGAAGCTGTCTTGCTGTCTTTGTGATTTAAATGATGTTATGTGTAACACACTTCTGGTAAATAATGGTCTAGTTTTCCTTTTTTTAAGCTAAGGAAAAGTAAATTTTATTCTGTGCAACTGTAATAGCCCTTTACCTTGTGTCAAATTAGTCAGAAAATTAGTCAGAACCCGCTATCTTTAGTTCTGCAGAATAGGCTGTCTCCACTTCCCTGGGCAGACTACCTCATTTACCTGGCAGCGGGAGAAAATCTTTCCTCCCTCAAAGGATGAATGGACTACAGGTTTGGGTCAGTGGCAAACCCACACTGGTCTACCTTTCCTTAGCTCTCCTGCCACTGGTTCTGCCTCAAAGAATGAGAGCAGGCTGTTGTGTTTGGGGTTTGCTGGATGATTTGGAAAAAAGTGAAGAGGGGATATGATAACTTTTCAGACTGAAAGAGAAGAAATGTGACAACAAAGGATAAAAATAGCAAAAAAAGCATGCAGCAATAAACTGTCCACAAATACTCAGACACTGGAAATTATAATAACGTTCCTACCCATCTGAGGAATGGTGCTCTATAATGGTTTCTAAATAAGGTAGTAAGAGGAAGGAAACTAGTGTGCTTTGATGGAGCTTGATAAGTTGACAGAGTAAACTGTACAAGAGATAAAAAGGATCCTAGATATTTAAGCTGTGGTTAGAATCTTTGGTATCTGATTTGTTGCTGTTTGTGTAAAATAAGCCGTATTTATTATTTGTCAATAACATTTGCTCATATCATGTTTACGCTGTGTTAATCTCATTCTCATGCCAGCCACAAGGACCAGGACGAAACTTTTTCCCTCTTTAATAGAGGGAAACCACAAAATGGTTTCTCTACTGTTTCCTGTCTCTCTGAGACACACTGAGATAGGCCAAAGCCTATAAACTGTTAGGTAGGATTCATGTGTACTTCCAGTGTTATTAAAACAGGTGGACTAAAGACTTTGTGCACCACAATCAAGGTTGAAAATGTCATCAGATCTGAAGACAGGCAGATCTTGCCAGGCAGAATGATGACCATTGGAGACTTCTGCCTTCTTCTGTAGCTAAGACATACCTTCAATGCCTAGCATCATCTGGGAATTTCACTGAACTAATTCCCCTAACTTTTAACACAGGTGTGCTGGCCTCGATGGCCTCCTGCACACTATCTGCAGAACTTTAGAAACGGTGATTTCTGTTTTAACAGTAGGTCTTTCGTATTTTCATAAGTGTTGGGAAATGTCTTCCAGCTAATCTAAGTGTGTGCAACAGACCTGCAACAGGGTACAAACTAGACTCATCAACACATTTCGTCCCTTCTGTTCCTGTGTTTTAATTCCTGCCCAGTTGTCTTTTTATTACATTTCCACATTTCCTGAAAGTCCATGACTGAGGGTCTTAAATGCTACAACGAAACAAAGATGCTTTATTCAAACAACCTGAAGTTTGAGCATGGAATTTGCCATGCCTTGTGAAAAGTTATTATCAACCAAACATGATAAAGGGAGGGCAAAAAGAGAATCGGAGAGAAGGTTACCCAGACCTTTAAAGTAAAAGAGCCTTGTTTGTGCAGCTGCAAACACAGAAATGATTGGAAAAAAAAAAAGAACAAGCCAAGCTTGCATTCAATACCCGTTGTTAAGCCAAATCCCATTTCAGCAGGCTCTTCACTCAATGCATACAGCTGGCAAACCTCCCTGTCTTCAGCTTCTACATGGGCACGCTTGGTTAAAAGAAATTTCCTGTAAAGGACACATATTTGTAATAATTTCTGATTAAGCTTGTAACTCTAAACAAGGACTTTTATCTTCTGAAAGAGCAAAAACATTTTACATTTATATAAAGAAGGTTATCAACACCTTTTGCTAAAACTAAATATGATTTACCAAACATCTCTGAGATAGGAAAGGGTAAGCCAGCCAGAGGTAGATTTGTCTTCTGGTAACTATTTACACACTTCTATTTGCTGTGCATTTATTTAAAAAAAGACAGGAGAGTAATACTTTCTTCATGTGACCATGAAAGTAAAGCAAGGAACACTAACTCTCAATGCAGCTGTATTTTCAAAGCTAGGTCCACCAACATTCTCATTTCTAAAGACCAATATCACCTCAGTAAAAACAGTATTAAATGCAAACAATCAGAGCTAGTCTAGATTTTCAGAGGCATGAATTTAGGCAGGCATATCCTGTTCGTTTCCTACTCTAAAAGCCTACCTGCACTTCTGCCAGAGCAAATCTGCATCTTAAACATCAACTGTTTAAGCCTAGGCAGGCTCACCAACTGAAAGAAACCAACTCTGAGAGCAGGAATAAAATCCAGACACAAACAGGAAATAATGCCATCAAGAAAACTAGGGTTAACTAACTGATTTGTTTCATTTTCCACCAAGAGCCATCGGTCTTCAGCTGCCAGGAAAACAGATTTCAGATTGATCGGAAGCGAGATGGTATGAGTTTGACCCTCTAATACATCCAGTACAACAAGGCGGTTTCTGTAAAATTGGAAGCCAAGAAAAGAATAATCATATAGGGATGTACACGAGGACATCTGTTATAAATCAATACAATACCAGAATATAATTTACTCTCACCCTGCTTCTTTGTAGAACACTAGCCAGTTTTTGTGTGAAAACTCTCGGCACATTTTGTAGTTGCTCTGTAAAGAATATGTCATACAGCAATTAGTGTTTGTTAGATTCGTTCCAGTGAGTTTCCCTGACTCCCCAGAATGTCTACTGCATTTTTTCATTATCTAGAAATTCACAGCATTAATTACTCCTCAAAATGTTATCTAGCCTGCCTTTTCTCAAGTCATTATAATAGAGTTCATTATTAGGGATATAATCCCTTGTAACAAAATGTTCCATTATTCCCAGGTCTAGCTCCAAAGAGGAATATTTTAAAGATACATATCCTCAGACAATACAACTTAAATTTTTCATACCACTATTCCACAACAATGCTATTTTACGTGTAAGGCATTTAAACATACATAAGCGTAAACAATTAAGTGCCTGGGCTGTATAAACAGAAAAATTATCCTGGGGCAGGTTTTCCAATATTGAGCTTTGATTTAAAAAAAAAAACTGCGTAACAGAGGCAGGTGCTATTCCTCACCATCTCTTCTTTGCTGCTCCACCAAGATGTTCTCTTAGGAGACTCTTGATCATCTGGTAAGAGCACAAGTCGGCGAAGGGCACCATTGTTTGTATCCAGCAACAACACAGCATTGCTCTGTAAATGAAAAGCAGATCCATGTACATCTCAAGCTCATTTAAGAGACCAAAACAAATCTATCTGTAGCACTTTTGCCATTCCAGCAACTTAGGACATTTTGAAAAGACGACCTAGATTTTGCTGGAAAACATAGGCTGGGTCTTCTTGGTTCATTTCAAAGCTCATGGAGAAATTTAATTCTAGAGGTTAAGTAGATGCAACATGGTCTGGAATGATAGTTTAGTTTTTCCAGAATGTTTTATCTTTACATCTCACATTCACTTCTGCACAAGCTCTAGGAACTAGACCAGTCCGGTTCACATGTCCAAGCTGTAGTCAGTTACAGATGAAAGACATGCCGGTTTTGTTCTGTCAAGTCATTAAAATATTTCATACTAGTTTTTAAGTTTTCTTAGCATTCCTCTCAAGTACCCATTACTTAAGTTACACTGAAGGTGAAAAACAGGTGAGATAAAAAATGCCTTAGTATGTTCTCTCCAAGTTCACACTTACGATACCGTGGAGCCTATTAGACATCCCAGTGCATGACAATCTTTGTGATCTGCACGCTTGGACAGTGCCAGAGGTAGGACAGCTGTTGGAGGACAGCAGGATGGCTGGGGGTTGGAAATCAGCAGCAGACAGGACACTGAACAGAGTGGTGCAAGTGTCCTCCACGCATCACATGTGGAAATACCATCTGCTAAATTTTGAACTTCAGGTTTCTCAGTTTGTTACTCAGTGCCCCAAGGTCCACACATGATGTCAAACAATGGGGACATTTTAAACATTTCTTTTTACAAAGTACTGTAGCTCCTAATGTGTTTAACTAAGAATTCGAGAGAACAATCATTCAGGGCTAACTTTAACTGCATGAAATGAAATTTAAAAGGGAAAAAGAACAAGTTAATTAAGTCTTGGGTTGAATTTTTTGTTTGCCATTCAAGGAAACATTACATTCTGCAAGGACATTAGGTTCTGCAAGGACTTACTAAAAGTAAACTGTCTACGTACATCATCTGCAATAACGCACAATAGACGTTAAGGGAGCAAAACATAAATTCCCACAAATTCTCCTAAATAAAACAAACACAAACAATCTGAGTCACAGCGGGTTTGTTCTTCTGGGTACGCTCCATACTTTCACTAGGACTATTTGGGAGAATTAGCTTCAATAATGATAGTCATTTGAAGCTAAATATGGTAAAGCATTTGAAATATTACCATGTTATTTGGAGCACTTGGGAATTTCAGCTAGATTTCAATACCTCTAAAAAAAGAAGTTTGCTTATGTATTACAAACCAAAATTATAGAAATGTGGTTCAGGAAAAAAAGATAGGGCATTTGCTTTGGATTTTGGTTTTCTGCCATATTTTATTTATATAATTCTGCAACAGCATGGCTGAACCAAAGCAATGCATACGCCTTCCACGTGAGACAGAGAAGACATATGAATCAATTACATTCCTCTACTTAGCACTAAATTTATGACAGCAGTTGGTAATATAAAAAGACTCTCCACTCCACCCCTTTTGATGTTAATGGTTTCCTTCTGTGCTGAGCGACTGATGTATATTCTGTCTGTGTTTAAGAATAGATTTTTGCGTCACTTGTGAACACATCCAAGAGCAGCTTTGGCAGCTCTTCAAGTGGGCTGGGAAAAGACGTTGGTGTGCAATTCCGCTGTGTTTGTTCTTGACTGGGAGAAAAGTAACCTTTGGGCGACCTCCCGACCCCGATGTCTGGAATTCCAAACTCTGGACAGATGCAATAACCAATCTCGTGAAGTGGTGCGCCCTTATTTTTAGTTACTGCAAAGTTTCCCTTTCCTTACTGCTGTTTTTATTTTAGCCAGCATTTTCCTCTTAAAAGTCCTGATCCAAAAAGGGCTGTGATTTCACTTTGCTGCTATGGGAAGTTGTTCCTTATGGTCTTGAGGACAGAGAGGAGAGTTAGGGGAAGAAATACACACCAGTTTCAGAGTGGGACAGTACAAACATTTCAGTTTAATCCTCTTGTATTCTCCTCCCCGTGCTAACTCTTATATTTTCATTATCTTCCACCATTGATGCTCACATCTTGAGCAAACAAGGTTGCAAACACAGACTCTCCTTAGCTGTCGGTTTCAGATGAGGCTGATCCTCAGCTTGGCAGGGTGACCCCTCTGTACCTATCTTTGCTTCCTGTCCCACAAGAACCTTTTGTATTAGTACCACTCAAGGACCTAAAGTGATACACATCTAACAATCCCGATGCTGTAAAAATTAGGTACAGAAACAGACATATCATGCTGTTTCTTAGGTTCCAGTGAAAAATAATTCTATGGATGAATTTATGGCTTTGGGCTCAAACCACCATAACTTCAGAGGTGGGAAATATATGCAAGTAGATGAATGGCACTCCAATTAATGCAAATGATGCCTTTCAGACGTTTTGGGAGACTTGGTTGTACTAGAGATTTCAGGGAACTGAGAACTGCAAATACAGATAAAAACTTTGTGCTCACAGAAAAGGAAAGTCTTCACCTTTTCTATAGAAGATGCACACCTTGCTATACAAGAACACCTTTCCTTTTCTGTTAGGTGTGCTTATAGAAAAGGAAAGTCTTATATGAGATTAAAAAAAAAATTAATAACATCAAGTAACTTTTGAAGAAAAAGTTCTCCTGAATGCATGCATCAGAATATTATGGCAACCAGAAGTTTCAGACATTACTATTAGTAGGTTGCAGGTCCTTCCATAAGCAGGTCCCCAGTTGTGGTTCAGGCCAGATGACAAACTGTTAAAATTAAGTCTTCTTTTAGAGGATGTTTGCCATCTTCTACATGTAGAGAGTCAGGTGGATCTCTGTGTCAGCTTCTGTGCCACAGACTCCTTCACTCCCTTGCTATCTGAGAGAAAAGAAGTTCCAGCAGCACCTGGGACAGGGAAAAGCACTGCCCTCCCTCCCCACTCCACTTCCTGATGGAGAAAGACAAAAGCAGATTTGAAGGATGCTGGCAGGACGCTGCCTGGGCAAAGCTCACTGTGCTCCCTCAGGTTACTCCATCCGTCCAGTTGTAGCCTTTCAACAGTACAAAGTACTTGTAAGAAAAAATGGAAGTGTGCAGTTAATTTATAGGCAAATCAATTCTCCATGTGCATTTTCCTCCTATGATCCCACGTAAAATCATGGATAAAGTTATCAAAATTATTTTCAGTTTGTATTTGCTCTCCTGAGCAGGAAAAGCAATAGGTGCAAAAACAAGAAGAAAAGTGAAACAGGCAAGCAAGAAGCTTTATACGAGGGGGGGAAGACAGGGCAAAGGCATTGCTGCTTTGAAAAGATGAAAGTGAATCCCAGCTTATGAGGAAATTACTTGAGATTTCTGAAGAGTCCTTTCAAAGTCTATCAGCTTAGCCTGAACATAATAATAGAGTCAAAACAGCCTGCACTCACCAAGACTGATGGCCACTGTGAGGAACAGAATTGTCTACTCTTTCTTCCAACAAGATGTATCTGCTTAAAAGCAGATAAATCTCCGATTTCTGCTATTAAGTTAAATCCCCAAGGAGTTTAGTTTTAGTAAAATTTTATTTAAAAGGACAGGAAGGAATGGTGATTTTTCATTTTAGTTCACTGGAGGGCTCTATTGAATCCAGATGGATATCATCTGGGAAACAAATCACACAAGCTTACTTGAAGAGCCACAATATCATCATCTCATCCTTTCCAATAAGGTTATCATCTGTTTAAAATTGTTCTTTTTTTTATAACTTAGTCAGAAAATATAATCTCCGAAGATCTTTATTAAAACATAAAAGTGGGAAAAATCTTTAGCTTTTAGTATTGTCTAATTAATGGATTATATTATTTATGAAATACCAGCTGTAAAGTGATTTTTTATTTAATAAATGCAACGTCTTATTTCTACAAGTATTGTTAATACTTCTTGGTCTTTTTGCAAGTACACGCAGACAAACCTCTAAAGCATCACATACATCATTTACATTGATTGTTTTTATTGAAGATCCGTTTCATGTACCCTTAGCACAAGGTAGCTAAGCCTTGGAGTCTTACCCAAAATCCAGATGTGCCACTAACCTCCTTGTCTTAACATGTGAATGCTGCAAATTCTGAGCCTACGGCTGCCAATGACCTTAGTACACCTGAAGGTGAAGGCATCTGGACTATATGTCAAGGCTCCTTCTGTAACCAGTGGAAAGAGAGGCACCTTCAAAGGGCAATTCACCTTGCTCTGCCCTAGCTGGAATGAATTGCTTTTGCAGGTCAGCTTTATGATCCGAATAGATACAGAAGGCACTGGAATGATTAGCTTAGATTGTATTTTTACCTGCTAAAATCAGCAATAATGGATTTCATTTCATATACAGCAATATTCAACTCATTTCAGAGATACACAAAGAAAATCATTTTTCCATGGCTCCACCACAGGAAGAGTTGGGAATAAAAGCTAAGCTCTATGTGGAAAACTTAAACTGCTTGAGAATCTCTTTTTAGATTCAGTGGGAACTTGAAATGCAGAGATCCTAACAAGTGAGCCCTAACATGAGGAAGGACAGCAGTAGCTGTGAGGACTACAACAGCAGCATTAACCCGACCTGTGCATTGGTGCCTCATTTAAAAAAGAAACCCAAATAAATACTAATGTAGTCCATGGATATGAACATGCAATACACAAGATACTCCTTTTTCATAATTTTTTCTGTGCAAGATGCTTATTTAAGTTCCTCAAGAAGGTGAAGATTACCTTTGAACTATGTCCTAAGTATATGTCCTGGTTTGAGCTAAATAGAACTAATTTTCAATTTAGTGATTTTACTTTTCAGCTCAGTCTCTCTTAAGTGGCTGAACTTGCTGAAACTAGCAGTATGTTTATCCAGTATGTGCTGCTAGAAGATAAGCTCAAGGCCAATTGTCTCATCATGGGTGCCATGTCTGCGTCTATGGAGGGGAGCGGACCCAAAACTGACCAATGAGGTATTCCATCCCACATATGTCATACTCAGTATAAAGCCGAGGGACCACGAATGTCTTGACCCTTCCTCCACCTTGGAGCCCTTCCATCTCAGACCCTTTCATCCGTCTCGATCCTGCAGAGGCCGAGGCTTGAGCGGAACCCTGCAGGTTCATCTGCCGCTGATCCTGATCCCTGTGTTCCTGCATCCTGCTCCAACCTGCTGCTGAGTTTGGTCTGGGACTTTTCCAGTGCCCTGCTCTGCAGAGCTTCTGGTGATGTATTCGTCATTGGGGGAGGATGGGAGAAGGATTTTATATTGGTTTTGTATCTATATTTGTACATATTTGTATATATTTCAGTATTTTCCTATTTACATTATTATCCTGTAGTATTAGTATTATTGTTTCATTAAATATTAGTTTATTTTCCAACCCGTAAAGTCTCTCTCCCTTATTCTCTTCTCTCCTCCCTTCTGGGGAGGGGAGAGGGGTTAATAGAGAGTGTCTATCCAGGATTTAGTGGCTGGCCCAGCCCTAAACCACAACAGTATACAATTACTTTTTGCAACCAAGTTTGTAGTTTAATGAAATTTACTGTCACAATCAATGAGTAAGGTCTATCTTAATGTTAGTACTTTGTAAAAAGTCCTAAGATAATGCAAAGCATTCAGAATATTGTAATCCTGTATTATTTGTGTCAGAATTTGTTCACCTGTAGCACTTGCTAAGAAAGGCAAGCCTGAAACTGGCAATATTTAAGCTTTGCCAGAGAAAAACAAGAGGTTACAGTTCAACTGAAGTCATGTGGAAAGGGGCACCAAACTACTGTACTCTCTCTGCAGAGCAATTTTTATCTCTGAGTTTAATTCACACTGTTACTGAAAAATATATTCCACGAGGACAGGCAAAACCAGTCAGAGTTAACTAGCTACTGCTTCATGGATACACCTTTGATAAAACAATCACTGTTGACACCAAATGCTACTGTGATTTGGTTAAAAACAAAACTAGCAGGACAATTATTTTCATGGTTGGAATTTCAGAGACTTAAGAAAGCAAAGAAGCTGGGCTTCATAATAAGAAGTGCGAGACATTCTAAACATTCTTAAGACACGAGACAGACTGCCATCTGTTTTACAGCTTCCTGCATTGATTTTGCCAAAAAAGGCCAAGGATTGTTTACAAACAAACAAATACGTTATATGCATCTCAAAATAGCCCAAATGGTACTTCTATTGCTGTTCAGGACAACCACACAGGCAATCACCACAAGCAGGTAACTTCAGAATCATTTTTTTTCCAGTTGGCACTGGAAAGTGCCCAGGGCAAAGGTAAGGAAGGCACAGCCAGTTCTACTAAAGGTCGAAGAATTGTGTTTCTCATAAGGCATCAAGCTTAACTGTAGCACTTGAGACCAGAAAGTGGAATCAACATTTGACAAGCATCTATGGAACAACAGTATCGCAGAGATACTAGCTATGAAATGACTGACAACTACTTAATAACCCAACTTAATGTAGGAAATGTTCTTTTTGACTGGAGTCTCTCACCTCCTAAAAAATCAGCAGAAGAAATTCAGAAAAACAAAAGGAAAAAACAATCAACAATAATGACCAGATGAAATGCACATGTCAAGCTCCTATAACTGATACTGGTTACTGGTAGGCAATATAATAATCTATCAATTTAAAAAAATTAACAGCAGCAGCACTGTATCAGCTGTTGTCTCATCCCACTCCTGGGCAAAGAAGTTTTGAATTGGAAAGGTTTGATTGGAAATGCTCCAATCAGTTCACTGACAGCAATAGAAAGTAGAAAGTATGTGGAAAGTATGCAATACTTGACTTTAAAAAAGGATTCGTCAAAGCAACACTGAAGTCGTCAGTGGTTCTAAATTTGTATTGTTGATACACAAGATGTCAAGGCTTACACAGTCCTCTTTCTAGTCTGTACTTCAGATGTTACAGAATGAGAAATATCAGGATTTGCAAAACAAATAAAAAATAGTGGCATGAAGCGAACACAAGAAACATTTTACTTGGTGACTCAGAAAATGTCTCTTTCATATACTATTTTAAAAGTAAAAAGAGGACAAGATCGGAGCAGAACCTAAGTTCACAACCTAAAACAGCTTACTTTGTACTTTGCACTTTACAAACATATGCTGCCCAACTGAGAGTCCTGAACTCAATTCACTATCTCCCTTTCTCCCATGAAGGCCAATCTCCTTCTATCAGTAAGAGAAATAAGATAAGCAGGTAGAACTCAGCTTCAAGAATGCAAAAGGACGTTGTCCATCTAAAAATGTGAGAAGAAAATATCTCTACCAAAACTAAAGCTGAAGGCAACTCCCAAGCTTCACATATAGTGAAAAAGAGAACATTCAGAAGCAGGTAGTCTTATCCAGGCTACTTCAATCTATAGAGGTAGGCTCCTCAGCAAACCTATCCTTATGATACTACTTTGCTCATCACTAAACTTTTAGCTGATTTTTAACTTTTTTTTACCTCCTCTTCATGTAGAACCACTTGACCTTTGAGTGGATTTCCCAGTGGTGCCACAGTCACAAAAGGTTGCCAGACACTTCCAATGGTTCTTGGGAAGAGGTCATAAAGATCCACAAAGTATCCACTTCTACCGGAAACATTCATGAAGTACAAGGAAACAGGATTGCAGGTAGTAACGTAAAGAACATTTTCAGCTTCCTCTTCTGAAATAAGAAAATAAAATTAATGAAAGGCTACTGGCATCTTGCATTGCTCTTCTAGAAACATATCTGTCATAAACTCGGCAGATGCTATAGGAAAATATACAGCAAAATTATCATCATTGACACAGGAAGATAAAGAGAGAAATGATCTCTTGATATTAACTAAACATGAACAGGCAGTATTTTGCCACAACACTTTTAATTCTTTAAACAAGTAGTCCAAGGCCCATCTGTGTAGATATGACTGCAGTGCCTGCCAGCTGCTAGAATACACAATATCTATCCAGATGTTTTTGTTTATTTATAAAATTGGTTTTCTCTCCTCCTTTATCTGATCCTCCCTTTCAATTAATATATTTAATAATTAAACATGGGATGAATACAGACATTGTATGGAACTTTCCACATATAGCACCTTTCTGACTGATTTCAAACAATTCTTATAATCAATCCAAAGCCATATAGTTTCTATTTTGCTGTCATAAAAATTTGTTAATGTATTTTAAACTATGGCTACAAGCAAGAAAAGGAAGCATTCCAGTACTGACCATCATTGATCTGTTTATAAAACACAGTAAAGTTCGGACATGTTTAATGATGAACATTAAAAACATTTATGAATATTCCCTATGATGCAATTCACTTTGGGACACAAGTAGCATAGGTAACTAAGGCAGGCTTGATCCAGTGATAAAGAATTTTAATCAGTATAAACACAAGTGGAAAAAAAGCACAGCACTGCAAGTTACAAGATTTGTTATAAAACAAAGACCTAGAGCTAAAGTCAGAGAACTGTTTGGCTGAGGGAACAGCATTGATCACAAAAAGTAGACAGACTTGTAATTTTGTGGCTGCATTCTAATTTAATTATAAATCCTTCTCTTAGCTTGAGAAGGATGCATATCCTTACAAAGACCACAATGTCTCAGTGAAATGATGCTCCCATTTCAGAGGCTGATTATTTTTGTATTTCATCTACCATTAAAGAAAAAAGTGCAAAAAGATCAATTACTATTCCTATGCTCCATATCCTCCATTTCCACATTCCAGTTCTTAGTATTGTTCCTATACTCCATTGCAAACATAGCCAGAAATACACACTATTGTAAATGCACCGAAGTGATGTTATTACACTTAGAATCCCCCATATTGCTCTTTTATATTCTGCCAATGGCTATCAATAGCCTAGTTCTTCCTCATCTCTAGGATATTTCACATATTTTTAACATTGGGGATCATTAAAAAAGTTAACAGCTTTTCTTACCACACCTTTTGTTACTGTGACATCGCAAACTAAGTTAACTTCACCCAAAGGCAGCGTCCAATAGGCGAGTTCTTCTGTAAAACTGAGGGACCTGGCTTCCTGGCGTTCCAGTGGAAATCCTTGAATATTTACGTACACAGGGCCCTAAAACAAATTATAACAATGATAAAGTATTGATAAAATACTTCACTCAATTCTTCACGGAAACCTAGAAGTCTTCTTCAAAACTTTTAATACTACTAACAACTGAAACAGACAAATTACTAAATAAAGGCAAAAGGAAATTATTTTCTGCAAGCATTCTGAATGTCCACACTGCCATTTCCTTTACAATACAGAAACCATCATGCTTTTCCTCTTTAGCCTTTTATTGGTTTGAAACTTTTATTGCTCAGTGGCATGAAGGAGGTATCATGTACTGATAAAATATACTTGATACAAGAAAAAGATCAGTATATTTTTCTTCCAAAGAAGTTCAATATCAATTTCTTATTATATAAAGTTTAAATATCAACCCTACATCACTTTTTTCCTTATCCACTGGAGTAATAATTACTGAAGCTAAGCCAAGAACTCAAAGCTGAAAAGTTCATTGAAGCTTTGGCTGCAGGTCAAACTGTACCAGAGGTTCAGATTTGAACTTGGCAGTGCTAAAGACCCATATGAATTCAGCAGCATGCAAAATAGGAAGAGAAAACAGCTTTCTTTTCAGTGTCTGACCTTAAACAAAAATTGAGATCTGGGGCCTGAAAATGGCCACCTCCAAGCATCAAAAACAGCTGCAAAGATCCTTCAAATACGGTATTTTCAATATCCTTATAACACCCGCTTTTCAAGAACTTCTGACCAAAATTACTGATTTTAAAGCACATTGCACATTATGAGGGCTAGGTATACAAAACCACTAATTTCTGTAGTCAGCATAAAAAACCTAAAAGATAACAAGGACCATGCTTTTAACATACTTTCCTTCCTGAAGAAATTAATCCCATTTTAAATTCTTCACATGTTGATACATAAAAACAGGATTATATAAATTCAGAAAAAAACCCAAATACCAACCTTTACATCTATTTTTTGAGTTTCTGTTGGACACTGCAGTTTCTGTCGTGCATTCCCTGGCTGATTGATTTTCCAGTAACCCATAAATTTAAGCTCTGGTAATGGCAGTCTGTCAAACAATATAGGAACAAATGAATGTTTACATTCATTAACCAGGAACTAATATGGAATAAACTATTTAAACAACTGCATTTTTCCAATGAGACATATCTGAAGATTCTCTTGTATAAAACACTTCCTCACTAAAATATTTAATTTATGTTTTACACCACAAAAAAATTTAGCCTTCTGGAATGCTAATGCAGTCACAACCTAAAGAGCATCATAAAAAAGGCAGCAATTCACATAATATGGCCTCAAAAGGAAAACTTTTCTAGTCTGAATTATTTGAGGTATGTAATAAAATATATCCAAACTGCATCTTGCTTTGCTTTATTCAGATGAGGCAGGGTGTGATAGCACCACTTCAAGGAACTCCTGTCAGTGGTACGCTCATCTAAAAAAACATCAGAATAAACATAGTAAACACTGGCAATAAAAGTTCAACAAATTATTTCCATATATTTTGCCACTGATATGAACAAAGGCAAAAGTACACAGACCTGAGAGTATTACATTGCCTTCTGGCCAGTACTGTCTACAGAAAGGATGGAGGCATCTTTGAAAGACTCAGTTGCTTGTCCTGGTATAATTTCTTCATTTCTGTATCTTCTATTTCATAGAATCACAGAATGGTTTGGGTTGGAAGGGACCTTAAAGCTCATTCAAGTCCAATCCCCTGCCATGGGCAGGGACACCTCCCACCAGACCAGGTTGCCCAAAGCCCTGTCCAACCTGGCCTTGAACACTTCCAGGGAGGGGGCATCCACAACTTCCCTGGACAACCTGTGCCAGTGTCCCACCACCCTGACAACAAAGATTTTCTTCCTAATATCCAGTCTAAATCTGCTCTCTTTCAGTTTAAAGCCATTACCCCTCGTTCTATTGCTATCTGCCCTTGTAAAACAAGTCCCTCCCCAGCTCTCCTGTAGGACTCCTTCAGGAACTGAAAGACTGCAGTAAGATCCCCCCAGAGCCTTCTCTTGTCCAGGCTGAACAAACTCAACTCTCTCAGCCTGTCCCCACAGAGGAGGTGCTCCAGCCCTCTGGTCATCTTCGTGGCCCTCCTCTGGACCTGCTCCAACAGGTCAATGGGCCACAGCAAAACTTACTTATATAGGAAAAAGAAATGCTGGTGTATGACCAAGTCGCTTGACAGCAAAACAGAGAGCACTATTTTTATTTCTTTCCTCTGAAGTGATTTGCAACCACTGGAAGCAGTTTAACTTTGTTAATTGGCATGAATACCTTCAAGCTAATAAACTCATCACTTTTGGTTTCTTTTATTTGAGATCACTTGAAAAAGACCTCCTACCAAAACTGCATTCTGTGTTACACATCGTTGTGCATCACTGTACAGCTACAGAACTTGGCAAGAGAACAGACACATTCCTTCTTCCCAGTTTCTCTAAATATCTCCAAAGTTTATTTTAAGAAAGTTCTCTCAGACTGTTTGTTAAAAGTCTGTCCATGGTCTCTTCTGTCCTGTCCGATGATGCTCGTTCCTACTGCTACAATTATTTCCTCTCTCTGCACAACCAACCTGGCTCCTCTAGATATTAGAGGTTTCTTTAATTTCTTGATATTAATTTCAGAATAAGAAGGGATCCCAAATCAAAAAACCTCAGTTAGACTATATATGAATCTTGGGGAACTTTAATTTTACCTTTTTTCCACTGAGAACTTAAAGGAAAATTCCAGGGAATGAGCACTAATATCCTCTAATCCTTTGAAGTCATGCAGGGAAGCCACACTAACATTTCTTACTGGTATCCCAACACCAGATCCCAATCAATCTAGAGAAGCCAGCACTCACAGGCAGTCACTCAACCTCCGTCACCATTCTGCATTTGGACCATCTGTCAAGGCAGTCAGATAGCCAAAGACGCTTTTTGCAAATAGAAAACTGTTTGTATGCTATAGATTGTTGATGCTTAAAGATAAATATATATATAAATATACCATTGGGGCATGTAATGAGGAACGTGCATCTCATGAATGCCCTCTCTTAGTAAAAGAGTCAGTAGAGCCTTCAACGCCTGCTTGTTTTCTAGTTAAAAGTATCAATAGATACGAATGTTTGAAGAGTGACTTAGTTTGCATTGCTCCTACTTCAGTTAGCAATTTTCCATTCTTTACACCTAGCTAGTCTAGCCAGATTCTTCCCAAATTAAGAAGAAAAATAAGACAAACTCAAAAAAAAAAGGCAAGTACAGTATAATGTAGACTACAACACATGCCATTAAGAAAAAACATTCAGGATACACTATTTCAACACACACATAATTCTTAGTTAAATTTATTCATGCAGTCAGAAAATGGGCAGGCAGTCAAGTCAGACTAAATGTCGGTTTATCCACTAACTGGAATTTTACTTCAGGCCTCCATTTGGGTTTCAAATGATTTGTTGGCAAAACATTGGTTATGACTTCAGCCAAAACCCTCTTGTGTGCAAGAAGAAACTGGAGATTATTTTTTTTGCTATGGTGACTCCAAGTAGCATAATCTCTGATATGTCTATAATCAGCAATAATTGTTTCCCGTTAGCTCAATGGAACAACTTCCACAAAGATTTGGACTTTGGTTTTAATTCCTTACATGTTACTCCCATGGACAACATCCTAGAAATCAACGGGTTCACTAATAATCATGAATACTTATTAAATTTTAAAACAAAACATATGGTAATAACCAGCTCTAACCAAATACCCTGCTTTATATAGAAACAGAATTACAGATTGCATTCCCAAAGAAACAAAACATTTCCACTCTCCCTCAGCTTTCTGGAGATTTGCTTTGCTAATAGTGCCTCTCTTCCCTCAGGAAAACTGATTTCTCCTTTCTCCTAGATTCTTGAGGTTCTGTTCTGTTTCCTGTTTCTGGATGACTTAGTTTCTCTGGGGCAGCAGAATAAGTCATCACAAACAGCAAAGAGGTGGGAAAGGTAGACCAGAATTTAGGAATAAAACAGAAATCAGAATTCATAATACAAAGAGTAATGTGGATCTTATTCTTCCAGGGCCTTACAATTCTTTTTTACTCCATCTCGCTGCTCTCTCTTATAAATCTGATCTAAGAAAGACTAAAGAGTATTGAAGGAGCTGATGGCATTAAAGGTCTTATCACCAGTCACCTTCTTGAATGATTTTTCAAGAGTGAGGATGCAGGACTGGAACAACATGCCCACACTGATAAAGTGTATGCATCTTAACAGTTTTCCTCTAGTGAATACATATGATAGGAGAGAGATTTTCTTTTCCCAGGACTTATAAGTAACAAGCAAGTTTTGAAAATAACTTCAAGTGACAGTACTAGCAAAAAGCTTCACAAAGTGCTCCTGCCACACTGCTGTATTTCAAATTATTTAAGTAAGTGCTGTGTACATAAAAAGCAGACAGAATACTATGGAAATGCCCCCATCGGCAAAATCCGTGAAGAAAAAAGATCTGATGGGTGTAAAACGTGTAGTGGTGGGGCAAGAACAGTACTGAATTTGTGAAGTGTAGAGTGATCCAGGATTTTTGCCTTCCTCAAAAGCTGAAAAGGGTTTCTAGAACAGAAGAAGTACATGGCAGACTGCAGTAATCTTGTAAGAAGGCCAAGACTTAAAAGCAAGTTCTAAGGAATTATTCCTGATCAGTTCTTTGATTATGGATCTGTCAAAGCCTATTGCTTAAGGAAAACTGAGATATATTTTTAATGTTTATTTACTAATTTGAAATCTTAGTTTTGTACAAGATCACAGCTGTCCATGAAATTGTTATATAAGCAAGTGTTTTGCTTAGAAAAGGTGATTGCACAGGACTCACAGTTGATGGGGCAATTCTACAGATAATTACTATTTAGCTTGATTTTCTTCATGCACAGCAGTCCAATTATCGAAGGAGAATTCTCTAGTAGCTTCTACCACTGAAAAACTTTCCAAATTGACACCTACAGAACACAATATCTTTTCATTTGTATCCTTTTGATTTTAGAAAATAAATCCATTTTTAGGATAAAAAAACAATGTGTTCAAAAAGTCAGTAACATCTGCTTTATAAAGTTATTAATTTAGCTTTCTGAGAATGTACTGGAAAATGGTTACAAATCTTTAAGACTGACGTTCTACTGAATGCAAATTCTCTCCAGCCAGCTATTGCACTGGTACAGCCTTACCAGCCAGATCTCCGTACTTTATTTAAACATGTTTTGGTTAAAAGCATAAGCAGTAGACATACAGAGCAGTCTTATGTTAGGCCTCCCATTCCCTGACAGTCAAATGCAAATCTCTCTGCCCCCCTGCTTCCCTTGCAATGCACAGGTTGAAAAAGAGACACATTTGGTATAAGACAGGTTCAACATTTAACTATGGATTACCTGGGGGAAGAAAAACAGGCTGAAGAGACAATGAAAGATGTTAAAATGTACGTATTTGCATTACATATAAAAAATCCAGATCATATACAATGAATATTCAAGTTACAGCAACCACCTGGAAGTGGATGCTGTCAGGAGGAAAAATATGGAATAGCAATTGCGTCAAGGATAAATGCCAGAATTAGAGGTGAATGCAGTTTTACCTAGGAACTGTGCGACAGAATGGCAGATTAACGAGAGTTCAGACAAATGTGGCACAACAGATGTCAACAAGAAAAACAAAACGTAATTGTACATAAAGAAAGATAATGCGTTAGCACAGTGAGTAATCCATTTTACGCACTATTTCTTGGCAAAACATCATAGACAAGCCATCTGCTTTACACACAATACTGATAAAAATTATAAACTATTGAACAGGTGATACCAGGAGATACAGACTATATCATGATGTTATAAGCTGACTATACTGAACATTTCAGTGCCCTGAAGTATGGTCATCCTATTTGCCAAAAAAAAAAACCCAAACAAACCAAAGGAAACAAAACACAAAAACACCAAGTAAAGCAATACTTTACATGTCCAATATATTATACTAATTTTGGAAATAAAACAAATTAACATCTACAAATTAATTTTTCTCTTGAGAAAATAACTACTGCTGTAATTCTTTTCCAAATGGTCATTAGACCCATCTAATCTTTCCTTCCAGTATTAGCTATATTAATTCCAGACCCAAAGCTAGAATTCCTCTAAGGTTCATTGGTACCTTCTGTCAAATTTCCCCTGTAATTTCAGCTGAATACAACCCTCAAAGTTCCCTCCATTGAGAACCTGTACTGTAGTGCATTGCTTGTATCTCTCATGTTTTGTTCCTATATTTACAGCAGTTATGTTTCAGCAACAATTTCAGTAATTCTGATTTATTTAGGTTTTCTTTTAGATTAAGTAATAGGTGACAGACAGACTTCCCTAAAACTTATTAAAATAAAACAAAGATTCATAAATTGTTTGATCCAAGACACGCCAGAGAGTACCAGTGTAAAGGAATCAGTATGTCGGTATAGTGACTTTCCTGTCCTAGAAACATCTGGAAATGCTTCTGTATCAGAAAGCTTCTTAATTGCACAGGATTTGTATTCTTACCAATAGCAATGATTTTGCTGCAGGTATGGCTAACATCCTCAAGCAGAATAGGTTTGGATTATCATCCTAGCTTTCCCATCACTTAATAGAACCGCTAAGCAATTTATTATTATTAAAGACTGGAACACGACGTGAAGCTCTGTGGGGCTATGCTGTTGTCACTAGGACACTGTAGAAATCACATCTAGTAAACCTTCAGATTGCCAGCTCGTGAGAGACTGTAAGCAGGTAGAAAAATAAGCTTAAAATTGAAAGTGATCTTGACAAGTCAGAGAACTAATCTGAAAATATACAATACAGTAAGAAAAGTGTAACCATGAAGGAAGTTGATACTTGGACTTGATGATCTTAGAGGTCTTTTGCAACCTTAATGTTTCTATGATTCTATAACTACATAATGTAAAGATGGGGTAAGCGCTATGCAGGATTCTGCAGAAAGGACCTGAAGGTTCATGTTTAGAAAACTAGACATGAGTTAAACCCTGTAAGAAATGCAAACATAGTGGGGTTTTTAAAAGGGACCCCTGCATGTAATACATCTCTATTCTATATGCTCATACTACTCTACTCAGCTCTAGCAGAAACTAACCTGCTCAGTTTCACACGCAGTGCTTAAAGATGGACATGAATCAAGTGGAGAGGGGGAGCATAAAATAAAAATAAAAACCATCAGAGGCCTTAAGAAGGGGGGAAGATTGAGAGAACTGGATGCATTTAGTCTAGAGCTGACCTTCCAATGGCAAGGATAGTCAGAAACAAGACTGACTTGCTTTGGAAGTTTACAGAACTCCATCACTGAAGGTTTTCAGTCATGAATCATGACAAAAATCAGATAAGGTTTTAGATTAACTCACATCTTCTCTGAAGGAAGTGGGGTGACATAGCTTAGCAACATGATCCTACTCTCAGATTCCTGAAAAACAATAATGAGGAGGTCAGTACTCTAGTTCTAAACATTTAGCAGCTTTGGGAAGTACCTTTTCTGCAGTGATCTAAGCATCAAACCCAATTACCTCAATGTGTCCATCCTGGGACCTTGCAATATGGGCTGAAACAGATTTGGCGAGTTTATCTAGATGTTCTTTTACCCCAAGGCAGAATCAATTATGCCTGAACCATTCCTGAAAGATGAGTCTCTAATTCAAGGTGATCCACTTGTGGCTTACAAGCTCTGCAGGGTTAAATCTCATGAGCAACAGCAAGGCTGTCTTGGAACGGAGCAGCAGGATGACCTGAAATGCCAGCTGTGGTGGATGCGAGTGGGATAGTGAGACCAAGACTGCTGAATCATCAGAGCCAGGTGGTCAGCCTAGTCTCAAACTTGCACAGCGAGATCTAAGAAAACGTTGCTTTTATCAACTGTGTGTGAAATGCTCCTGGGGTGTCTCCTCCTCTTGGCCTTCAGTGTACAGAGTATGCACCCCCACCTGTCAGTCAAAATAAGTTTTTGATGAGCATCTTGTGGGGGGTCTCATAAGTCTGCCATCCTTAGTGCAACCTGTCCTACAAACCCTCAGTGATGGATTCAAAATGATCAGGTGAGTATTTCTAATTCAAAATGATCAGATCTTTCTTCTGTCTTCTCACGTCTAGACTAAAGAGTCAATAATTACAGCAGTTCTTCTCTTATGTTTCCTAAATCTCTGATCTTTTCATTACTGAAGAGTCCTCTCCAATCCACCCATGTAAACCCACATCTAATACCTTAAAAAATTATATAAAATGCAAATTTCTCAAAAACTGTGAGAAATGTCATGATTAAAACAGAAATTACCAAGTGACTTTTAGCAAAGAAACTACAGCAAGTTTGAAGTGGGTACTGTCAATATGACAGACACCATAGTTTCTCAAGTATTGGTTCCCTAGGCACGTACTTCTTCTGTCATCAAAATCAAAAGGTACACCACAGTCATTACACTGCCAATCTTCTTTTAATAGTTATATGTAGGATGTTAGATATGATAACAGTGGTGCTTCAGCAGGAGAAATGTACACATGAACACCTAATATCGAGACATCATGATATGACATATGACATATGATGACATCATGTCATCAGTCCCTGCTTAGCAAACATAAAAGTAGTATATCCCATGGAAAACTCAATTTTCCACATATTCATAAAGCTTTCTTCATGAAAGGGAAATATTTGTTTCTCCATAAAATATGTATTAAGAGTTTAAGTCAGAGTAAGTTTTCTAATTGCTTTTCAATATGATTTCCTTAAGCCTGTTATCTGTGAATTGTAGAAGAATGAGTTAAATTTATTTCATAATTTAGTTTAGTCTTAAAAAAAAAACCTATTTTGATTCTAACCTCTGTAAAAGTACATGGTTAATTATTGTAACAGCTGACATGCTACAAGGATAATAGTGATATACAGACACATACAAAAATGGTTCTTAGAGCTTATATGCATTGCCTTATTCCGCAGAAGTATTTTTGTAGAGCTTTTTGTGAGTATCAAAGACACAATCCCACAACCACTGAAGACAATTCTTTTTTTTTTGCTACCGATTTAGGTGATAAACAACAGGACAGACGTGTTGCAATTCAATTAAAAACACAGGAGAAGAAACAAGTATTTCCCTTTATTAATATATTTATATATTGATATCATACAGACTATCAGTATGTACATGGACGTTATAGATTAAATAATAGTAATAAGCAAATACTCTATCATAAAGTAATTTATATCACTGTAACTTATTTAGAGGAATATAAATTTGAACCAGAGGAGGACTGACTTCAAGTATTCCAGGTTGCTTTTAAATGAGTTAGCAGCAAGAATACACACTATAAAAAAGTGATCATGAGAAACCTGTCTTCTTAATATATATCTTATGCTATTCTTACTCCTTGGCCAGCTGTACATTCGTTGGTTTTGCTCCAATAGGTATCCCGTATTTGTGCAAAGTGCTGATTAAAATTTCCCGCATTTCATTGTTGTAGGAGTCAAAGTCAAATACGTTTCGAACAACATTTGCCAGTCCTTCAGTTGGAAATTTCTGTGAAAAAACAAAGAAAAAAAATATTTTGCTGAGTATCTGTTAAGTTACAGCACATAATTAAACACTTCCAATATGCTTATCTTCTAAATGTACATTTAGGTAATTTTAAACAGAATATGTACTGTGCAAAATTTAGATTTTATTTGCCATTGATAAAACCTTACTGAATGAACCAAGTTACTAAAAATACAATTTTTCCCAAGGGCTATTCTAACTGAAGACTCTATAAACATTTCATATGCAATGTAAGTGCAAAAGGTTTGCCAGAATGGTCAGTAGTGAAAGTAATGACTTCTATAATGTAGAATGCACCCTGGAGTCAACACAAACATCATATTGCAAAAAAAGCCAAAACAACCCCCAAAAAAACCAAACCCCAAAAAAACCAACAAACTCCCCCCCCCAGAATCCCAAAACAATCCCACAGACTTATAAAAATGTATAACACAGTTAAGTTTAAAAGCCTGTAAAGCTACTTATTACTCTGGGCAAGACCCTATCTCAGTCTGTTTTCAAGCGTGTATTTTTGGATAACAAGAACAAAACATGTCCAGAATTGTGCATACTCTATATAACCAAAACTTTTCTTTAAGTAATTATTTTAAAACATCGATGATGATGAATGCTGCACTTTCTGTGTTTGCTCTTTCTCACTGTGAAGCACAACCAACAAACTGTCACCAAGTCATCTTGTTCACTCAAGACCTACTCTTTTACCTGCCCGGCACTCGATACTGAAGAAACCTTGGTCAAGTGCTTCAAATATTATCTGGTTTTCACTAGCAGTCCCCAAGTACGTCCATGGTTTTCTGAATTATTGTGTAACTTCTAATGTTCATACCACCCTTCTTCTCAATTAATTGCCTCAGCAGTTCCATGCCTCTTGTATCAGTAGGACATCATAAAAAATTTATTTCCTCTGGTACATCTAATTGCTTTTGTCAACAGAACCTGTTCTGAACACAAGCCACATGTCAAAAGGCCCTCTACTTCAGTTGTTAAATAAATTACAACTCTCTTGTTTCAATCAGAACAAATCCAACCACTTTTTAAGAACTGTCTGGACAACTGCTTACTGAAGAAAGGCAATGACAGTTCACTTGAATAAAAGAAAAAGGTTGAATGTTTGAGTTGAACACTTAAAAAAATAATTTGACTCTATGGATTTTTAAAACCAGATTACTGGAGAAAATATTGATCTCTCATTAGTCTGTCTGGTTCTCATTCATTGATTCTTCCCCTTACAAGTAAAACCTTTGTATGTACCTTAGAGAATTTTCACAGCTTAGATTCTTGCCTATTCCTTAAAACAGTAAGTAAGAGAGGTTTTGCTTTTAACAATTTTATATTTATAGATTTTTTTAATGCTATATTTGATACAGAGTTGTGACAGACTTCAGCTTGGTGAAAAATTCGTATTTTTATGGATCTTTCTGTGAGTAAATGTATTGTTAAAGTTTGTTTAAAAGCTATCACTAAATAGAAGTTTCCTAGTACAAATACAGAATCTTAATTAAAATATGCTACACACTGAGGTCTGCTGTACTTATACCACTACCCTGAGACTAAAATGACAAATGACCTGCTATCCAGCCTGTAATGAGTCCAGATTTTTGTTTTACACTTCTAACTTGTGTTCTCGCTACTACTCACCTCCGTACATATTCCAGTGCTTTCAGGTATCCGCACAATTCCCACCCTGCCAGCACCATCCCAAAGGCCCGCCCTGTCCCTATGACACTAAGGTATTTCCCTACCTGCTCATTCCTCCATGCCCTTGGCTTCCCCCTGTATCCCTGATGCCTTTTCACTGAATGCTGCCAGCTCTCTTTCTGTCTCCTCAGTTGCCATGTCAGCGGGGCAAGAAGCACCATGTCTATGGCTCATTCCAAGCAACAGGCATACTAAGTGATTAACCAGTGCTTGTGTCTTTAGTGGGCATCATCATCTACTGCCAAGTAAACCAGCTGAATTCTCCCCTGCCCTTTCATTCACAGGGATGCTAATTGGAGTCTGTTCCTCTCTGTCACATAGCCCCTGATTTGGATTAAATCAGCAGAAACCTAATCATCTTTGAAAACTGGTAACTGAAATTCACTGTGGTTGGCCAAAAGAGTGAAAGGTTACTATTGATGTGCATTTGGCAGCAAGGTGAGAAAGGGATACAAACTGTGATTCGATAAGCCTGGTTTCTTTTCGAGATTAGCCTGAATAGAAAAAGAGTATTATCATAGCACAAAAGCTTACTGAACAGGCCTAAAAGCCTGATGATTAGTAGACTTCAGGGCCAGAAGGTCCCTCAGACATTTACTGCCTGAAAATTGTTACACTAGCACCTACTATTAGAAAGCAAGCTCAGATACAAAGAAAGAAGACCTATCAGAAAAATCTCAGCTTTCCCAAACTCAATAGAGTTAGTAGGAAAGCTATTTCCATTCCATCTGGACTAACGTGGCTTGCCTGATTAACATCTACCAGTGACATTGGGTGAATATGGACTCTGCGAAACAACATATAAAAGGTCTCATGAAAACTAGAGTGCAGAGAAGCACTCACAGTGTACAATAGTAGTAACAGGCAGCATATGGTAACCCAACGGAGCAAGAGCAGAGCTTCTCAGCTTGCCCAGAAGCCACTAATAGCATTGATACTTCTGGCATTTGACAGAGTCTGAAAACTGCAGGCAAGCGAGGCAAAAAGCCTATATTCAGGTCACTTGCAATCTAGAGCTGAAAGAGCCAAATTCCCTTTATAATCAGTGGGGAGAAATGGTTGCAGCAACCAAGTTAGGCACCTGCAGTAGACAGCTTCCCCTATGCCTGCAGTTTCAGGTCTTCAAATTAGTTTGGTACCTCAAGCTTCATCAAAAAAAACTTTCCTTAGTACAGAGGCAACCTAACTGTGAATGTAGTGTTTAAACTACAACTAAATTGCTATAGGTTGCCTATTTGCACAATCTAAATTGGAAGACACCTTTGTAACTACGCTACACTACACAGTCCTATACATTGAAGACCACAATTAGTAACAGTGCAGAGATTTGCCTAATAATATGTTGATGCCACAGTAACCAGAATGTTCTTTTAACCGACTAGTGCTGATGCTCAAATGCTCTCTCAGATAACAGTAATAAAGAGCAATTTTTTTTCTCCAAAACATCCAACTCTTTTTTGCAGAATAATAAAATTCCAAAATTATGTGAAAGAAATCAACACAATAGTACAAAGTGAGGCTGTAGAACTGCTGTAAGGGAAACTGTTTAACAACATGACTAACTTCCCTCCTTCCTTCCTCAGGACCAGCAATTTTATTGACTCATTTCCCTCCTTCCTCTTTCTTCTCTACCTGAAGACCTAAAAAGCTTCTTACATCGGAATAACCATTATGTTTATATTCATTGTTTACATCTGGCTACTCCCAGCCTTTCTTTTATTCAGATTGAAAAAACAAGCTACAGTAAACAAAATGTTGCATCCTTACAAAGAGACTGGGATCCTGAAAACAAATGTTACAGAAGACATCAAAGCTGCATGCTGGAGATTTATTTGGATATTTACACTTGACTTTGAAAGAGGTGAAAAACAGCACACAGGAAACTTCCCCACTGATTCGTGCCCAATAGCCAGGTAGAAGAGACCATACTGATCTTGTTAAGTAACGGAGACCGAAGCAGAGAGTAAGTGCCCTTAAGACAATTATCAGTGCAGCTCTTCCAATCTTCAATTAGATGCTGGTCGCACTCAAACTAAAAAAGAATTAAGTCCCTATGTTTCTGCACCAGTGGGTGACAGAAGACCTGCAACTTCAGATCACCTGGAGACAGAAGATGAAAGAAGCTAGGGAGGAAGGCAGAAACAGCCAAAGAGTATGAAGAGAGGAAGGAGTTCACTTAACAAGCCCTCTGAAGCACCAGCTTTTCAGCAGCATAGCAACTGCTCCTCAAGTTTGTAATTTTTCCACTGGCATTTCAAACGTAACTCTGCATTCGAAGACATTACTGATACTAACAACATGGCACATATTCTATCAGTTTGGTAAGCAAATACGTACTAACTGGTAATGGATCCTAGTAAACTACTCTGCTTACATGTTTATTTGGATGGATTCCTCAGCTTTTAGGTCTGAATTTTGTTAAGCCTTTGTACAAAGTTATAAAGATATAACTATTTTTTCTTTATATTATTGATATCATAGCAGCACCAATTTACTTTGTCTCAAGACTTCACTGTGTCCTAGAGACTACAGAGGACAAAAATCGTTTCTCCCCAGAAATCTAGATGAACTGAAGATTTTAAAAAGTAGTAGTTCTAAGCTGCAGGATCAAAATATCTGTGTATATGGATGAACTTATGTGAATATGCTCATGAGCACAAACACAAAACCATTATGCAACTCTGTTGTACTATGCAGTGTTAAACACAGGAACAGTAGGAAAGAACTCTAATTGTAATAATTACATTAATATTTCCACTAACCCTTTTTTCAATCTAGGATTCAGTAATTTAAAAAATAGTCTATAAATTAAACAAATTAATGATTTTTATGATTATAAACAGAAAAAAATAAAAGCACTGCTATTTCAAAGACCATTAAGATACTTTATATTTCAAATATTTCTGACAAAATGTATTCTCCAATTTATAAAGATAGAGGTCAGACTTTACTATAATCTCTTAAAAAAATAGGAATTAAAGCAGAATGCACTATTTCATAGTTAAAATGTGTGTAGGAAGCAATCACAGATCCTAAGTACCTGTTTGCTAAGTTGTTATCCATCTAACATTTTCCTTAGAAAATTTTTCCTTGTGATGTATTGCTTTTATGCAGCAGGGACTTGTTTTCCCCTGGGAAATGCTTAAAACCAAAAATTTTGTAGCAGCATAAAGTGAACAGTTGCACTGTCTTGGAATATTGTATGCTGAATACTGCATACTGTATTCACAGTACACATGTGATATTTTCTCACATGCAGAAAAACAGACTCTCAGAATGTCTTTATAAATAAATACACAGGAAAAATATCTGCCTGTGTACATCAACGATCCTTACCCTCAGACTATCTGAACATCTCGGTATGACGATTTCCTCAAAATGGAAAACTTTTCATAAGAATGAAATAAAAATGCATGAACAATAATGGCATGCTTTTCTAAAATCTTCAAGCATTAGAAAATCAGTAGCGATGAAATCAAGTTTTTAATGAAATTTGATGTACTATACCTGTAAATGTTTTACAATATTCACAACTTCTCTAGTTGAGTAGGGATAGTTAATAATCCCTTGGTCAGCTAAACTCCTGAGTTCTCCAAAAGCAGCCACCAGCTTCTGCAGAATCGGCTCTGGAACATCAGGACCATATTGTCTAAGCATGGCCAGTTCAGACTGTGGCTTGGGATTATCGACAGCATGGCAACTAAAAATGTCCCCTGAAAAGAAAAATAAAAAGCATACAGTTAAGTAATTAATAAAGAGAGAGCATACAAACAGCCCCTTTTAGTTTCATACAGCTTCTTAAATGGAAAAGTAATGGCTCAAGAAGATGCTGAGTACCTGCTTGTTAAAACAAAACAAGACAAAAACTACTTTGAAAAATATGAAGTAAAAACTGGCTATGAAGAACACTGAGGTTCCCAGAAACATGGAGATCTGTCCTGTCATTTTAATGAAGGTGATTGAAATGGAGAAGTTAACATCAAGAACTAACACAAGCCAAATTAATGCAGAAAAAAAAGAGAAAATAAAAGAATAAAGGTTTAAAGAAAGAATAACAGGTTAAATGGGTTCACTGTGAACACCTTCAAAACATCTTGGCATGCAGGTAAATCTTGATATGCAGAAATGCTCTAATGCAAACTCAGTTGAGGAGTCTAGAGGAAATACTGGATTTTTATCTTTTCTCTCTGCCTGTCTTGAAGTATGGTAACAAATTTAGCAAGATATTATTTCCAAATATTTGCATTACATTGGTTCCAATTATAATCTATAAAATTGAGTTTATTTGCAATGAGTCCTTTAACAGTCCTAAAAAACCTTGCAGAAGCATGATCAGATCCT